CTCGAACTGAATGTCCCGGCGATGGAGGTACGAGTCTATCGGCTTGGTAAGGAGCCAGGAACATCTGTATTGGGCGCAGTTGGAGCCTTCTTCTGTAGGTCAAGTCCTGCTGGTACAGGAGCCAGATGGTGAAGTCCCTGTGGCAGAGTAGAGTGACAGTGTCCCAATGATTCAGTACGCCTCGAACTGAATGTCCCTGCGATGGAGGTACGAGTATTGGCAAATCTGCCAATGATGAAGCAGAGGAATTTCCAGTCTTCGCGGTGTATAGGGACATGTAGGTAGGCGTCCTCGATATCCCCGCTGATGAGAAAATCCTGTGCCTGGATCCGTGATCGCAGTAGCCTGAGCGTGGTCATCCTGAAATAAGGTGGACGCGACAGGTAGTGTTTGTTGAAAGCGGTGAGGTTGTGGATCATCCTGTGTTTGTCCGAGTCCTTCTTAGGAACTAGGTGAATAGAAGCCCAGTGTGATGGCTGGGGAGTGTATAACCTCTATGGCTTTCTTGTCTAGCGGCGCCGTGATGTTCCGGCTCAGTAGCTTCTGTTGAGTAGGGGGGGTAGGTGTCAGCTATGGTGGACGACGTGAGTGGCAGGTCGTCTAGAAACATCAGCTTGTACCCATGTCGGATAATGTTCGTCCCCAGGATCTCCAAATTCTGCCAGAATCGACCCAGTCTCCCACCTAATGGAGTGTCAACAACTTGGACGGCTGGGGGTGGCCGCGGTGGGACTGGTATGCGCCCGAGGACTTCCCTTTTCCTCTGCCTCTGCCCTGAGAGGTTTAGATGGAGCCCCTACCCCGAGTCTGGAGGGTTTGGCGTTGGGGCTGGTAAGAGCCAGACTAGGACACCTTAATAAAGGCTGGCTGTGACACCCTTGCCAGGAGCTTGAGCGCCGTCTCATCTCGGGCGAAGGCTGAGATCCGGGAGTGCATCTTGGATACCTGTCCATTAAAGAGGTCAGAGGCAGACCAAGGTTGGCGCAAAAGGTCTCTCTTAAACTCTAGGTCCCAGTCCGACAAGGCAAGGTACTCTAAGCGTCTATTGGCTGTGACCTCAATCAGAGCGGCGCGCATATGAGAGCGCATTTGTTCCACTTGATGTTGGAGGTAGGATATGACAGTTGTTAGGTGGTCAATCCTATGGGGGCTATCCTCCGATAAGTCTTGCAGTATGGCTCTGGAGGACATGTCTCTGATCAGTGGGTCAGGTGGGATCGAAGTAGGGTCATCACGGATGGCTGTCTTGCTATAGACTTCTAGGCCGGGTGAGGGGGCGATTGCCTCCATTCTGTCGGCCAGAAAGTCTGCAAACTGGGTCTTAACCCAGGTGGGACTCTCTGTCCGTGGGGGTGTCGTCATAACACGAGACGAAGGCGCCCTCCGAGGAGTCAGACCGATAGCGTCTGCGAACCGGGGAGCGGCTCCTTAATCGATGACACTGATGATCAGATCTACTGTCACTCCGACGTAAAGACGTACTTGGGGAAGCTGAGTCCACGGAGTAACGAGAGGTAGATGGCGTCTGTATAGTCGACCGACGAGGCAGAGGCAGAGGCACGAGCGCTGTAGGAAAGATAGGGGCTTGAAGAGGCGTCTGCAGAGGCGCTATAGGAGGCGCTTGTTGAGGCGTCTGTAAGGGTGCTGGCGTCGACGTCTGCCTGGTCTGCAAGTACTGAATGTACTGAAGGAGAGAGGCGTCTATCATGGGCGTCATGTGCCGTAGGTGGGGGCGCCTGTGGGAGACCAAGCGTCTGTCCGGAGGAAAGTATAGGCGTCGTTTGGTAAGTGAGCACCATGCCGGGTGTCAAGGTGGCCGCCGCCGTAAAGATAGAGACGCTGTAGTGGTCGTCAGAGTGCTCAGGGACGAGACCAAGACCATGGGGTCCTACATTAAGGTAGCAGTTGAAGTCCGAGGGTAGTCATCCGAGATTTACAATCTGGTAGGCGAATTCTCGGAGAGGTTGGACATCCTGCGCCAGTGTTTCCTGGCCTGTTGTGTTCCACGTTTCTTAGACACACAGAGATACTGACTGAAAGCTGTGGGTGAAAGCAGTAGACAGTCTTTACATCGGTGACCATGGAGGCATTGAGATGTACAATTAAGGCACAGGGGGTGGGGATCCCACGCCGACATATTACGCCGGTACTTTGAGCAGGATGACATGATATCTGCAATTAAGCAGTGTAAAATCACAATGCGTCCCTGCCCGATTATGTATGCTATAATTTGTTTATCCCACTGCGTGGGTTTATGAAACAATTATTACAACAAACGTAAGACAACATACAATGAAAACAAACATATTTGCGAGGATACGCCAATCATGGGGCACCAAACAAAAAGAATATAGAACACAAGCCAGTTCATTAACTCACTGGCCACGTAAAATATTCAAGATTCCTACTTGAAACAACAAGACACCTAGCATTATGTTTTCTTTTGAGAAAACGCCAGTAAGTATCTAATTACGTTATGCACATGTTTATCAAACACAGAATGTACAAAATGCAAACCGTAGGCACAACACAAAGACAAAAAACAATAACTCTAAGAGCAAACACGTAAGGTTTTGAATCAGTTTATGCTACAGCAAAAAAACAGGTCTTCACTCAGCAAGTGACAAGAGTAATGTGAGGATCTGTGACGTCACTTCCTTTGGTCATGTGGGAGCTGCGTGATAGGGTTGGCCTCTCAGCTAGTTGGAACAACTTCTTCAAGACCTTCACACAGCTCTTTTCTCTGTCAAGAACAAGCAGTAATATGCTTTCAGGAGTAATGCAGGATAAGTAAAAAATAAGACAAATTATTGCACAGAAATTACAATGGCAGTACAAAATAGAGTGGTAGTAGAATTTTCAATTGCAAAAAATAATATGATGGCAGTGGTCAGTATCAAATATAAAATTACAGCGGTGATACCACAAGTGGTCAAGTTTCCGAAATGGGCTAGACAGGGAATCAGAGAGGATGAGCAATTGTTGAGGAGAGAAAATAATAAAAACAAATCAAACATTTTTTCGGTTCATGTAACATGAACATTTAGCATAAACGCCACATGCTTCACAGAAATCAGATCGTGGCATCCGTTTCACGTGCAGAAAATGAATGCTGACACGTGATGCATTGCAATGGTCAGTTTTGGGTTTTTCGTTCATTGGAGCAAGACACACTTTACGGTCGTGACCAATATTCGTGGTCTTTATAGCAACTAGTTGTCGCTGGACCAATATTCGTGGTCTTTGTATAAACTAGATGGGCCAATATTCGTGGCCCTTAGAAACGTAAAGTGTGTACTATAGTTAGCTATTCATTTCCTGCATTCGTGGTCATGGACCTACCATAGTTTCTTCATTTTCATAAGAAAAGATTCACATTTAGTTTCCCACATGTCTTAAAAAGAGAATCGTGTTTAGTTCGTCATACGTGTTAAGAAGAGAATCACGTTAAGTTCCCCATTAATCGTATAATTTCAAGTGAAGTAGAAAAGATGAAAGGTAGACACGTGAACGTCGCCTTCCACTGCGCAACAGCGATCCTCACATGAAAGCTGGTTCTGAAGCGAAGTAATGCGTGAGAGAAATGTAAACACGCTATTGTCCCCTTATACATAACCTACCCAGCCACAGTAAGGTTCCACACAGTGTCCTCACCAGTCTATCAGCACTGTACCATCAAGAATTTTCCTTAACATACTATCACCATCCGCGATATACACCATACCAGAAGTTTACACACCACACTAGCATTTAAATATAGTAACTTCCTGATGACTGATCACTGTCCAAACACAATGCAATGAGCTTATACCAAATCCCAAAAGAAACAATGCAACACAGCTACAATCACTGTTAAACAATTACATACACTTCCATATAACACATCAGATTGAAATCTAAGCCATATACATAGCCAGTTGGAAAGGATTTCTTCTCAAAGATCTGGTTGCCAGACAGTCAGAAAAGTCAATCTCTTCTTCCTCCAGGTTTGATCATATTTTGAGGTTTTGTGTGATACGTGCGCGAAATAGATTTGTTTGTTCAGGGGTAATCCTGATCCATCTGTGTCCAGCTCTGGGCCAAGATCCTAGCCTGTGATGTTGCTGGTGCCCGACCGGTTCCCTGGATTGTCAAATGATAGGCTAAGATGAAGATCAGCAATGATCGTGTAGCAAGCTTTAATGTTGACAGTTTTGAGGCTTTCTTCTGTGGGGCTGACAGTTGCTGGCCTTCCATGCCACCATACAGTTCCCGTTTCAAGCCTATGGTGACGTAATCTTTAATGTTGTCTCTCTGCTCCAATTAACTCAGCCAAGATACTTGTTCCACCACTCATGTCCTGCAGGGGTGATTGCTGATCTTGCCTGATGGCAGCCATCCAAGTAAGAAATCGCTGTCAGACACTGATCCATTATGGCAGGTAAGGTGTCTTCATAAATTCTTCTAACATGTTTATGGACAGTGTAGGCATGGTGCCTGGGGTGGACTCTGAGGCGCCTGGGATGGACTCTGAGGCTCTGGGGAAGGTCTTGGGATATCCTCCTGCAGCTCAGGACATAGCTCTTCATTGACAGCAGTGATTGCAGTCAGTGCCTCTGTCTTCTTGGTTACTTCCTTCCCTTTCGCCTACTTCCACGATTTCGCAACCTTGGCGAAAACCTCTTGTGTGAGTGAGGCAAACCGAGCACATCTTAGAAGTGACAGAAGAAGTGACACCATCTTGTTTCACAAAACGTTACAATATTCCAGAAACAAACAACAACAGTACTGTAGCCTCATCTGCACACATCAATACTAGAACATTAGTAAATTTGTCATCTTCTTACATAAATTCAAAACCATTAATCTGACATATTCCTCTTCCCCTGAATACAAAGAGTCTGCATCATACCATGCTTCAACTGCTGTGGTCTTTCTCTTGAGCAGGCGCCAATTGCGCTAACAGCTTGAACGTAATCAACAATAAGAAGTGAGTGATTAAAGGGGGATTTCCCAGGTACCTGGAGCCAGTGCTTGGAGTGTTCCCATGATGCTGTGCACACATCACCAGCAGCATATACATCAGTAGCAGAGGTTTCCATACAACTGTTAACTTCAATACCTCCATCAGGGGACACTGATAGCTGCAAACAGAACATACAGTCATAAACCCATCATCACATCCTTGTCCAACAACCCTGTGTATTATTACCCTGTTGAACATGCCTATTAAACAACCTGTCACTCAAAACCTTACCTCTTCAATACCACCACCCTAAAGATGATATATATGTGACATTTCATCCCTCTAAGCAAAACACTTCTCAAGTTTGGGTGAAAAATCACTTATTAGTATTTACAAAATGTAACTTGTGCAACTCATCGAAAGAAGGTCACTCTGACCTGTCATCACTTACCATATACACAAATATTGATATAATATTATCACTACTACATGCATGAGACTTTAAAAATATCTGCAGACAAGTGGTTACATGGCACTGCAGCTCACCTGGATATGTAATCAACACTAAATCTAATGATTTGAACACAATAGTGTCATAAGAAGCAGCTCCTCATCCTGTCTTTTTCAGAATGTTCACAGGAGAAGCATGTTCACAGAAGTAAATAGAGCCACCAGGCTTCAAGTTATCCTGGCTTATGAAGTACTAATTTTATGACACTTTCACCATATTCAAGTACAAAAATGTTCAGTTAGAGAAATGGTCGGGGGAAAAGAAAAAAACCTTTTTTTACAACATTGTGATGCCTTGAATAAAGTCTTCTTTTGCTCATCACATTCACACAATGCCCTGTGGCCAGTAAAATATGAGGTGTCAAAGCAGCTGGAGGCTAGTTTGATGATGCTATCTGTGGTGAGTTTGGTGTCTAGGTCGTTGATTTTTGTTGTGGAGGATGTCAAATACTTCTTGTAAAGGGATGTTGGTGAAGAGGTCGGTGACATCACAGCTGACCATGGTACCGGTACTCCAGCTGAATGTGGAGATGCAGCCCATGGTTCACCTAACATATATGGTACAGTATTCCAGTTGAATGTGGAGATGCAGCCCATGGTTCACCTGACATGTAAGGTACTCCAGCTGAATGTGGAGATGCAGCCAATGGTTCACCTAACATATATGGTACAGTACTCCAGTTGAATGTGGAGATGCAGCCACTGGTTCACCTAACATGTATGGTACAGTTCTGCATCTGAATGTGGAGATGCAGCCCATGGTTCACCTGACATGTATGGTACAGTTCTCCAGCTGAATGTGGAGATGCAGCCCATGGTTCACCTAACATGTATGGTACCAGTACTCCAGCTGAATGGAGATGCAGCCCATGGTTCACCTAACATGTATGGTACAGTTCTCCAGCTGAATGTGGAGATGCAGCCCATGGTTCACCTAAGATGTATGGTACAGTTCTCCAGCTGAATGTGGAGATGCAGCCAATGGTTCACCTAACATGTATGGCACCAGTACTCCAGCTGAATGTGGAGATGCAGCCCATGGTTCACCTAACATGTATGGTACAGTTCTCCAGCTGAATGTGGAGATGCAGCCCATGGTTCACCTAACATGTAAGGTACAGTTCTCCAGCTGAATGTGGAGATGCAGCCCATGGTTCACCTAACATGTATGGTACCAGTACTCCAGCTGAATGGAGATGCAGCCCATGGTTCACCTAGGATGTATGGTACAGTACTCCAGCTGTATGTGGAGATGCAGCCCATGGTTCACCTAACATGTATGGTACAGTACTCCAGCTGAATGGAGATGCAGCCACTGGTTCACCTAACATGTATGGCACCAGTACTCCAGCTGAATGTGGAGATGCAGCCCATGGTTCACCTAAGATGTATGGTACAGTTCTCCAGCTGAATGTGGAGATGCAGCCCATGGTTCACCTGACATGTTTGGTACCAGTACTCCAGCTGAATGTGGAGATGCAGCCCATGGTTCACCTAACATGTATGGTACCAGTACTCCAGCTGAATGTGGAGATGCAGCCCATGGTTCACCTAACATGTATGGTACCAGTACTCCAGCTGAATGTGGAGATGCAGCCCATGGTTCACCTAACATGTATGGTACCAGTACTCCAGCTGAATGGAGATGCAGCCCTTGGTTCACCTAACATGTATGGTACCAGTACTCCAGCTGAATGTGGAGATGCAGCCCATGGTTCACCTAACATATATGGTACAGTTCTCCAGCTGAATGTGGAGATGCAGCCCATGGTTCACCTAACATGTATGGTACCAGTACTCCAGCTGAATGTGGAGATGCAGCCCATGGTTCACCTAACATGTATGGTACCAGTACTCCAGCTGAATGTGGAGATGCAGCCCATGGTTCACCTAACATATATGGTACAGTTCTCCAGCTGAATGTGGAGATGCAGCCCATGGTTCACCTAACATGTAAGGTACCAGTACTCCAGCTGAATGTGGAGATGCAGCCCATGGTTCACTTAACGTGTATGGTACAGTACTCCAGCTGAATGTGGAGATGCAGCCCATGGTTCACCTAACATGTAAGGTACCAGTACTCCAGCTGAATGTGGAGATGCAGCCCATGGTTCACCTAACATGTAAGGTACCAGTACTCCAGCTGAATGTGGAGATGCAGCCCATGGTTCACCTAACATGTAAGGTACAGTTCTCCAGCTGAATGTGGAGATGCAGCCCATGGTTCACATAACATATATGGTACAGTTCTCCAGCTGAATGTGGAGATGCAGCCCATGGTTCACCTAACATGTATGGTACAGTACTCCAGTTGAATGTGGAGATGCAGCCCATGGTTCACCTAACATGTATGGTACCAGTACTCCAGCTGAATGTGGAGATGCAGCCCATGGTTCACCTAAGATGTATGGTACAGTTCTCCAGCTTAATGTGGAGTTGTTCACCTAACAGGTCAGACGATGTGGCAAAACTCACAGTAAAAAAACACTGCTTCGGCACTTACATTGAAATTTTGATACAACAATCTGTTTAGAAACAGATTTTAAGTGAATATATTTGGTACATGACACTGTGCAGCATAGAAGTACATACTGAAAGTCACATTAAGCATCATCTGATCATGTTAATTAACTCTGATTGTACAGCAAGTCTGCTATTGGTTCAGGATGTGTCTCATCTCAACTGCTTGTGTTAGGGGTACGTACCAAATTGTCACCAACAAATGGCTGTGTGTTGGGGACTACGCCCGTTGCACTGACGATGAAATCACAACCATAAACTTTCCCATTGCTGAGACGAACATACACTGGCCAACTGTCTACAACAAAACATTTTACACTTCATTTCATCTCACTTGCGAAATATTACAGGGAGTCACAGGAATTTAGTGAATAGAATGACATACTCCAACGTTTAGCCAGAAAACCTGGAAAAATGGAGAAATAACTTCACATTGTTCCATACCTAGATATTATGGAATATACCAAAATATTAAGCTTGGGTTTTTTTTATTTTAACTATATAGCAAAAGCTTCAACTAAAATAACACAATATCAGAATATATTATTCCTGATAAAATAATAGTTTCAGATAGTATTTCTTCCGATCATTGCCTCAAAGTTCTTTTAAGTAATATTATTGGGTACTTTTTTAACTTTAACACCGGTAGATTGGGGGAAAATGTGTGTACAGCTGATTGCAATTTCTGTCCGAGTTTATAAGACAAAAACACACGGTGATCTTAATCTCTGCATATAAAACAATGTCTCGCATAACAAGAAATATATTTGAAATGGTAAATCATCAAATTTCTCATTTTCACTGACTGAGTTTGTTATCTCCTGCATGTTCACCTGAAGCCATAAGATGTAGTTTTTGGCTGTGCACAATACACAAAATAGCAATTAACCTTAACTTCCCACTATACACAATTAAATACCATCTCATCCAACCTTATGACCTTAGCCTTGAATCACTTTGTGCAAGTGGACGAGATAATGATATTAAGAATTTACAATGATTGCAGCTCTACGATTGCCTTGTGAAAGTATAGGCCTGCGTCTTTTGTATATCTACATATCATCTGTTATCAGATCAGTTACGTATAAATTTTTTATTTTCTGGAACATGAGAATGAGTCCAAGGTTATACAGGTTAAATCTATAGTTGTGTTTAGCCAAAGACTGTATTCAATGAGTTAAAGTAACGTCTATTACCTGAAACATGTGACTGTGGAGCCTTGAAAGGTTCTGAAGCTGAATATCCATAAGTCGTCATCTCTGTTCCATCTAACACGTGATGCACCTCCACATTATATTCCACATGGATGCTGTGACACACCTACAACATACAGTCTCACTTCTACACCTACAACATACAGTCTCACACCTAGAACAAACAGCCTCACATCTACACCTACAACATACAGTCTCACTTCTACACCTACAACATACAGTCTCACATCTACACCTACAACATACCGTCTCACTTCTACACCTACAACATACAGTCTCACTTCTACAACATACAGTCTCACACCTACAACATACAGTCTCACATCTACACCTACAACATACAGTCTCACATCTACACCTACAACATACAGTCTCACACCTACAACATACAGTCTCACACCTACAACATACAGTCATACAGTCTCACTTCTACACCTACAACATACAGTCTCACTTCTACACCTACAACATACCGTCTCACTTCTACACCTACAACATACAGTCTCACTTCTACAACATACAGTCTCACACCTACAACATACAGTCTCACATCTACACCTACAACATACAGTCTCACACCTACAACATACAGTCTCACACCTACAACATACAGTCTCACATCTACACCTACAACATACAGTCTCACTTCTACACCTACAACATACAGTCTCACTTCTACACCTACAACATACAGTCTCACTTCTACACCTACAACATACAGACTCACATCTACACCTACAACATACAGTCTCACTTCTACACCTACAACATACAGTCTCACTTCTACACCTACAACATACCGTCTCACTTCTACACCTACAACATACAGTCTCACTTCTACACCTACAACATACAGTCTCACACCTACAACATACAGTCTCACTTCTACACCTACAACAAACAGCCTCACATCTACACCTACAACATACAGTCTCACTTCTACACCTACAACATACAGTCTCACTTCTACACCTACAACATACAGTCTCACTTCTACACCTACAACATACAGTCTCACACCTACAACATACAGTCTCACACCGACAACATACAGTCTCACACCTACAACAAACAGCCTCACATCTACACCTACAACATACAGTCTCACATCTACACCTACAACATACAGTCTCACTTCTACACCTACAACATACAGTCTCACACCTACAACATACAGTCTCACACCGACAACATACAGTCTCACACCTACAACAAACAGCCTCACATCTACACCTACAACATACAGTCTCACTTCTACACCTACAACATACAGTCTCACTTCTACACCTACAACATACAGTCTCACATCTACACCTACAACATACAGTCTCACTTCTACACCTACAACATACAGTCTCACTTTTACACCTACAACATACAGACATCCCAACTGTAACCTACCTGCCCTGCACCAGCCATCTTTCTACTGCTTATATACAAACACACCCCAGCAGACATCCCAACTGTAACCTACCTGCCCTGCACCAGCCATCTCTCTACTGCTTATATACAAACACACCCCAGCAGACATCCCAACTGTAACCTACCTGCCCTGCACCAGCCATCTCTCTACTGCTTATATACAAACACACCCCAGCAGACATCCCAACTGTAACCTACCTGCCCTGCACCAGCCATCTCTCTACTGCTTATATACAAACACACCCCAGCAGACATCCCAACTGTAACCTACCTGCCCTGCACCAGCCATCTCTCTACTGCTTATATACAAACACACCCCAGCAGACATCCCAACTGTAACCTACCTGCCCTGCACCAGCCATCTTTCTACTGCTTATATACAAACACACCCCAGCAGACATCCCAACTGTAACCTACCTGCCCTGCACCAGCCATCTCTCTACTGCTTATATACAAACACACCCCAGCAGACATCCCAACTGTAACCTACCTGCCCTGCACCAGCCATCTCTCTACTGCTTATATACAAACACACCCCAGCAGACATCCCAACTGTAACCTACCTGCCCTGCACCAGCCATCTCTCTACTGCTTATATACAAACACACCCCAGCAGACATCCCAACTGTAACCTACCTGCCCTGCACCAGCCATCTCTCTACTGCTTATATACAAACACACCCCAGCAGACATCCCAACTGTAACCTACCTGCCCTGCACCAGCCATCTCTCTACTGCTTATATACAAACACACCCCAGCAGACATCCCAACTGTAACCTACCTGCCCTGCACCAGCCATCTCTCTACTGCTTATATACAAACACACCCCAGCAGTCATCCCAACTGTAACCTACCTGCCCTGCACCAGCCATCTCTCTACTGCTTATATACAAACACACCCCAGCAGACATCCCAACTGTAACCTACCTGCCCTGCACCAGCCATCTTTCTACTGCTTATATACAAACACACCCCAGCAGACATCCCAACTGTAACCTACCTGCCTTGCACCAGCCATCTTTCTACTGCTTATATACAAACACACCCCAGCAGACATCCCAACAGTAACCTACCTGCCCTGCACCAGCCATCTCTCTACTGCTTATATACAAACACACCCCAGCAGACATCCCAACTGTAACCTACCTGCCCTGCACCAGCCATCTTTCTACTGCTTATATACAAACACACCCCAGCAGACATCCCAACTGTAACCTACCTGCCCTGCACCAGCCATCTCTCTACTGCTTATATACAAACACGCCCCAGCAGACATCCCAACTGTAACCTACCTGCCCTGCACCAGCCATCTTTCTACTGCTTATATACAAACACACCCCAGCAGACATCCCAACTGTAACCTACCTGCCCTGCACCAGCCATCTCTCTACTGCTTATATACAAACACACCCCAGCAGACATCCCAACTGTAACCTACCTGCCCTGCACCAGCCATCTTTCTACTGCTTATATACAAACACAACCCAGCAGACATCCCAACTGTAACCTACCTGCCCTGCACCAGCCATCTCTCTACTGCTTATATACAAACACACCCCAGCAGACATCCCAACTGTAACCTACCTGCCCTGCACCAGCCATCTCTCTACTGCTTATATACAAACACACCCCAGCAGACATCCCAACTGTCACCTACCTGCCCTGCACCAGCCATCTTCCTACTGCTTATATACAAACACACCCCAGCAGACATCCCAACTGTAACCTACCTGCCCTGCACCAGCCATCTTTCTACTGCTTATATACAAACACACCCCAGCAGACATCCCAACTGTCACCTACCTGCCCTGCACCAGCCATCTCTCTACTGCTTATATACAAACACACCCCAGCAGACATCCCAACTGTAACCTACCTGCCCTGCACCAGCCATCTCTCTACTGTTTATATACAAACACACCCCAGCAGACATCCCAACTGTAACCTACCTGCCCTGCACCAGCCATCTCTCTACTGCTTATATACAAACACACCCCAGCAGACATCCCAACTGTAACCTACCTGCCCTGCACCAGCCATCTCTCTACTGCTTATATACAAACACACCCCAGCAGACATCCCAACTGTAACCTACCTGCCCTGCACCAGCCATCTCTCTACTGCTTATATACAAACTAACCCCAGCAGACATCCCAACTGTAACCTACCTGCCCTGCACCAGCCATCTTTCTACTGCTTATATACAAACACACCCCAGCAGACATCCCAACTGTAACCTACCTGCCCTGCACCAGCCATCTTTCTACTGCTTATATACAAACACACCCCAGCAGACATCCCAACTGTAACCTACCTGCCCTGCACCAGCCATCTCTCTACTGCTTATATACAAACACACCCCAGCAGACATCCCAACTGTAACCTACCTGCCCTGCACCAGCCATCTTTCTACTGCTTATATACAAACACACCCCAGCAGACATCCCAACTGTAACCTACCTGCCCTGCACCAGCCATCTCTCTACTGCTTATATACAAACACACCCCAGCAGACATCCCAACTGTAACCTACCTGCCCTGCACCAGCCATCTTTCTACTGCTTATATACAAACACACCCCAGCAGACATCCCAACTGTAACCTACCTGCCCTGCACCAGCCATCTTTCTACTGCTTATATACAAACACACCCCAGCAGACATCCCAACTGTAACCTACCTGCCCTGCACCAGCCATCTCTCTACTGCTTATATACAAACACACCCCAGCAGACATCCCAGCAGACATCCCAACTGTAACCTACCTGCCCTGCACCAGCCATCTCTCTACTGCTTATATACAAACACACCCCAGCAGACATCCCAAGTGTAACCTACCTGCCCTGCACCAGCCATCTCTCTACTGCTTATATACAAACACACCCCAGCAGACATCCCAACTGTAACCTACCTGCCCTGCACCAGCCATCTTTCTACTGCTTAAATACAAACACGCCCCAGCAGACATCCCAACTGTAACCTACCTGCCCTGCACCAGCCATCTCTCTACTGCTTATATACAAACACACCCCAGCAGACATCCCAACTGTAACCTACCTGCCCTGCACCAGCCATCTCTCTACTGCTTATATACAAACACACCCCAGCAGACATCCCAACTGTAACCTACCTGCCCTGCACCAGCCATCTCTCTACTGCTTATATACAAACACACCCCAGCAGACATCCCAACTGTAACCTACCTGCCCTGCACCAGCCATCTTTCTACTGCTTGCCCAGTCAGGCCCAAGAGCTCCACCATGTGGTCTGTCATCAGATGTCTTCTTGCTAACTGTGAGCAATCAATCAGATGCATTATCACTTCATGCAGCTGATTGTCATCTCTCAATTAGTATGAACAATCCATCAACCAGGAATTCTTGTGGATTTGTACTCAGTTGTGGGCATGTGTCTGACCAATATTCTAATCACATGATGAAGTTGTTTTATATCCATATACTGTCAATCATGAAACTTATGTGAGTATCAACCCTAGGCCTAAAATGTGTCATGAAATCAATCTGATTAGCGCTTTGAACCTTTGAACCTAATCGGCAAACAATAACACCAAGACTAGAATTATTATTCCATTATATAGGATGGGGTGATAGCAGTTCAGTTGATATATTATATCATCAAAAACTTAACTTGAGCTGCTTGACATGTGATCTAATTACAATGAAATGAAAAGGTGTCATATTCAAATGAGATAGGTCAGATCAATGATTGTTTCATGGATTGTTACACAATCCTATGAACATATTGAGCAGTGTCATGTATTCACTACGACTGCTGTTCCTGTACTGGGGGGCGGTCGGGTAGAGTGGTGGTTAAAGCGTTCACTCGTCATGCCGAAGACCCGGGTTCGATTCCCGACATGGGTACAATGTGTGAAGCCCATTTCTGGTGTCCCCGATGTGATATTGCTGGAATATTGCTAAAAGCGGCGTAAAACCATACTCACTCACTCCTGTACTGGACATTTTCCCTTCATGAGCGAGTGGTGTTTTGCTTGTAATCATAACATTATTTGACATGTTACCAAGAACAAAGATTGGTGATTGTGTAACCAAACTAACCACACTTGATACTGAACTCGGTGGGAAAACTTGAAGCACTCCATTACATTGTTTATTGGGAGCTCTGTTGTGTACGTCATTGTTTCCACCTATGTGCAGTGAACCTGACATGACAATATACACCAATATGTCCAGATACAAATGTGTCACCTTATTATAGAGCGCACAGGACACTCACACTTTTCATTTTAATTTCATGCTCACATTAATTCCATGATTTATGGTAAAAATCTACTGAAGTACCACAGCAAATAGTACCACAGCACTGTAGCTCACCTGAATATGTAGTCAACAGTTTAAAATGTCAACTATGACTGCCACTTGACACAGCCCATGCAAACGCTGATATTCAGAAAAATGTCAGCATAAATACTGAACTCTAATGACCTGAACAAATATGTCATCATAATGAGATACATACAAGGCAAAGGCAAAGAAGTTTACAGAGCCAAATATGCATTTTGAGAGAATTTAAGAGCATGGTCAAAACAAGGCCAAAATACTAGTAAAATCTAGATATTTTTTTATATTTGTATACTTATCCTGCATTACTCCTGTTGTTTGACAGAAAGATGAAGCTGTGTGAGGTCCAGCTGAAGAAGTTGTTCCAACAAATTGTGCAACCCATCCCATCACATAGCGCCCATGTGACCACAGAAGTGATGATGTCACGGACCAACATATTACCGTAGATCGGAACATCTTAAGACATTGCCGTGAGGTAGCTCTGTGACAGGTGGGTCAGTTCAGACATAGTAATGCAGGATAAGTATACAAATATAAAAAATATCTAGATTTTACAACATTTTTTAACTTATCCTGCATGGCTCATTAATGCATCTTTATCGGAGGTACAATGCAGGGCATACCTTCAGATGTGATCCCCAATAAAACCCTCGACAAGATCCAGACAATCAGCGAAGCTTTCTTAGCGATGACTGGGGGGTTGACCCCGTCGGAAGGAGACAAGAGTATGAGGGATGCAGGATGTCCAGGTAACAGTGCAGTAACAGAAAAAAGCCTTAAGCTATAGTCTAAGACTGACGTACTGAGCCAATGCAAGTAGCATGTTAACCTTCTCGTCTGGGGTGACAAGCAGCTGAGTGGTCGAAAGGTCAACTCCCAACATTGGGAAGAGTCAAAGCCTCTTAGTTGGGGATGGTGACCAGCTGGGAAACCTACAAATCCCCCCACCCCCACAAGAGGAAGATGTGAGTCGAAAGTGGGTTTAACTCTGAATCCCAGTTGGAGAGTACTAAGTAATAAGGCTGCGTGTAACAGTGATCTCTGCTTGGGCTACATGGAGATTGTTCCTCATGTGGTCGATCTGAGACTGTTGAAAGTCAACCACTGTCTGAAAATGGTCTAACCTCCGATAAAAAGTGCTCCATTGCATGGGTTGTGGACACTAGTGCGGATAAAGGTTTTAGTACATGCCTGATTTCAGTCTCAATGAAAGCAAATCTGGCGTAGCCACGATTGAAAATATCTCCTTTTCACCTGTCACAAGATGAGAGAAACATGATATTTCATGAGACACATGGAAAACCTTGATACGTAATTTCTCCCTAGCTAACACAAAGGGACGGGTCACAAGCCCCTGTATTTGGGACTAAAAAAGTAGATTCATGTTTGCAAAATCATATAAAATATAAACAAAACTAACAAAAATATACTAGAAAACTTCAAGACCACTGTTGGAAGAGAAAGAATACACGCTGGTCAGTAACAAAAATGGCGCTTTGCGAAACGAACAGTCTCGTTTGACGAATTTAGTGAGAAATTTACAGTTTATAACTGAACATTTTTAAGAGAATAACAAACTATGCAGGATAAGTACAAAATATACCACAATTCATTATATTTTCAAAAAGAAATGGCTGAGTAATGGTCATAAGAAATTTAAGCTATCAGTATGGTTGATGTATAAAGGTGAAATCAAGGTCAACATTTTAAATATGACACACAAAAAGGTACATGTATGTTGAGACCCACTATGATCCAAACAAATACTCAATTTCATTACACTTTTGAACAAAACAGAGTCACAAGGCTCTGTAGCTCACTTGACTTACAAAAACAAATTATGACATTTCATCCTAATTTGGGTGAACAAACATACTTAGTAGGCTAAAGGAGAACTGATGCAAAAGGCTCTAGGAAAAAGAATCAGTTGTGTTGAGTGCAAATCATGCTTCCTTGAACAAACTTGGATCTTATAGCCATAACCATCCACACAAAATTAAGATTTCTGCACCCTTAAACTTTCTGTAAAATTAGATTTCTTAAATATTTGTCATTCAGTGACCTTTGGCCACTTACTTGGATGCTTATAGAACATATTGCTTGATTACATTTTTGATCTAGCATGGCACCATCATGAGACCATTGATGCCCTTATGTTAACAGCTTTGCTTCGGGAATTGCTCAAAACCAAATTTGGAAAATGACTTGACCTGGGAACATCAATATACAAAACTGTGAAAGACTTTCCCTGTCAAATGTGAGGGACTATCTATTTACCTAATTTGGTGTAAAACCATTAATATTTGTTATCATCCAGGAACAAATCCCACGTCACATGAACCTACTTCATCATTACCAGTTTCTACTTGATTGTTATAATGGACAATTCAAAAACAAAACTTGATAATCATCCATCAATATTTCTGGAGTTATTGTCAAGAAACTAGAAATGGTAACAAGTGGCATTGCTGCCTTTATGCTGACCTGTGTGCCCTTCTGGCATGTACTTGAGTCTCTTCACTGGGCCACTGCTGTCAGGCTTGTCTTGGTTGAGCTGCGGCAGGAAGAACTCAGCAGCACCTGCATCTATGAATGTTGAAGCTATGGACTTGTCCTTGATGGCCCATACCACCTCACATCCCTCTATCTCATAGCTGCTCACAGGAAACAAACAATTGTGGTTTTCAGACAGAATCGTGAATTTTCATACTGTTTAGCCTGCAACATCGGGGTATCGCGGTACTTGTCATGTACGCTAAACGGAACAAAATGCACTCACTAACCTTTATGTTTATTCGTGTTCTCTGTATCAGATATCATTCATGTTATCAAACGATGCATATTTTATTGATAAAAGTTCATTATTTACATTAGTAGCTCCGAGTAAAACCTGGGCCTCGCGCTCAGTTTGATAGGGGAGAGAACTCCATCGTATCGCGGTACAGAGAAAAGTTGTGTATGGAGGTCCGAATTGGACAAAAAGAGGACATAATTCTACAAACCACTTAGTATGATCTTGCCAGATATCAGTGATTTTTCCAGACAAGTGCAAAGACAGCACAAGTAAAATTCTAAATGTGTTATCTGTAATAGGTATTCAATGCATGTTTACAGAAAAGTAAGAGAAAAATATTTTAAAAATCAAAAACAAAATATCAGAAATGATATTCTAAGATCGTTTATAAAAAAAAATTGGATGATAATAATTTGTCACATAATGGAAAAAATGTTAAACGTTAACAATAAATATATAAAAAACACTCCTAGTATGCCCAAAGTATGTATTTATCTTTGGCTACTAGTGAAGATTGTATTTCTAAGTTTGGCATTATGGCCCTTATGATCTCCCAATAGATTCTGGACACAGAGCGGGAGAAAATGTGCGGACTACGTAACTTCCGTTACCTTTTTAGTCGCCATGAATATGCAGATGATGTAGTTCGGGTCGATAGAGAAAATTTACTTGGGGAACTGCGGTTATATCGTTGGCCATTGTAGATGGGGGTAAGGCAATATTACAAAAGATGCCAGAAATATGTATCAACGCATTAATAACTCCTTACTTACAGCAGACGGAACATTCCGAGGAAATTGAAACTATTTACGAAGTGTGCACTTCCTGGTTACTGATTAGCATTAAAAGACAGCCGCTAAGAGGCGTGTCCCGCGTGAACTACCGGAAATCACAAATGCCGCGATACGATGAATGCCGCGGTACCATGGGGTCCGAGTATACATCATATGTAGGTAGTCTAAATCTAACATCTAATCTGCTGTTGTACCATTGTAATACTAATGTTATTAGCATTGTTGTAAGACATTTTATGGATCTACACTGAACTACAAGTAACAGGCATTAAACTCCATACACCAGTTCTGTTGCGATGCCTCCATTGCCAACCACTACAATCCGTCTTGCAGCAGTAAGTCTTTGTTGGAACACCTGAAATATACAGAGTATATACTGTGTGAGGATAAAGCACAGTTCATCAATCAGGGGTAATCACAGCAAGGGCTTTTCAGGCAGCAGTTTCACAGCCCTAATGGACAGTTTCTTGATGGACAGTTTCTTGAAGAACATGTTCACAGCCATTTCCAGCCAAATTTCCAAATCAAAAAGTCTAATTCATCTCAATACTTACATGAAAAAAGTTACATCAATTTCTATTTCACTTCCATTCTGATATCTATGACATCATGCATCTCAAATGCAGCACAATGTTTTACCTAACATATTTGCATGTCCAGTTCAAGTATCTCACTTCTGGTATGGAAAAATGTCAACTGAAATATGACTTAAAACAGAAAGTTCCATACCTCTTTGATGAATTAAGAAATAAAGTTATAAAGCATGCCATACCAATACAGGATTTGGTTCACTACACACAGAAGCAGAACTACCTTCAGAATGATCATTCCAGTAGCTATCACAGGTCACCTAAAACCTGACCACATCAATGCTACACCCTAAAGACCACATGTAAAAATCATTCTCAAACCATGACATTACATACTTCTTGAGTTATCATTTCAAATACATTTCTGAGTAAACAATTTTGACAGTGAATTTGATCATCAACATCAGTTACAAGTGTTATAGGAACATTCTTAGGGGCTATATAGCATGTCAACCAAATGTAATATCTCTACATGGAATTAAACCAAGCACACGGAATAAGCCATATACTAATACTTGGATTTCAGGTGGTAAATCACTGTGACCTACTAGTATTTTCTTCGGTTGGTCACCTGACACATATATACCTGTAAGTATTCATATCATTCAACCACTACATGAATAGTACTTGAAAATATCTGCAGGAAAATGCTTTGTAGTAAAAATGACAAACAAGAAAATTACCTTCACTGTGACCTTGAGCCCATATGTAGGTTACTAACAACCATTACCCTAAGATGGCCTCACCAAGTCCCACTTACATACAGTAGCTGCCTCTTGGGTTAGGCGGCCAACAACTTTCATGCTGTGACATTGAGTATAACTTGAACTCTTGACATGACTGATCAATGTCACACACAAAATCCCAAGGGGCAATAAAGGAGGTATACTCAATATGATATCTGTGAAATGTCCAAGCATAATTCTTACAATAACAAGAAGAGGGGGTGTGGTGGAGGTCAGATTCGGACAAGAACTTAGAGCATTCCTTGCATGGAACTGCATAAAGTAATGCCATTCTGAAGACAGCGGACTTTTGTGAAGAGTTTGAACTTTAAGATATATATTATGCCATCTGATCAGTGATTAAACAGCATTTTTCCACATTGTCACCCAGAATAGATATGGAAGATTTGGGAATTTGTGCATGTATGATAGCACTTAAATATGTAAGACTGTTGTGATGACTCCTACCTTCACGCTCTCTGTATCCCTAATGCCAATGACATGCTTGTTGCCATTACTGATCACCTGACAAACAGAGATGACAACATGGGCTAACATTATCAACTTTCCGGTCAGTTAGAAATTAATTTTCTTAAGTGGGCATAAATGACCAGCTACAGAGCTGTGACATCTACCTAATGGAGAAAGTGTCAGTGCACACGTTAGTTTGAGTGAGTGAGTGAGTTGGTGAGTGAGTGAGTGAGTGAGTGAGTGAGTGAGTGCTTAATGCTACATAAACAATTTTGCAATTAGTAAAACATGATATAGAGATAATAAACAGACAATATCGAAATGACAACATCTTTCAAAAGCAATATTTTATGCTCAACCATTTCCCTTTCACAGCAGATTCCCATGTTGATCTATAATTCCTGATATGAGTGACCAGAGACAAAGTAAAATAAGGCACATTCCTTATGGAGGAACAACGGACATGAAAGGTTTGTACAGTTTGGATATTGTTTCAAGACCGCTTGTACAGTATTATTTTTATTGGGGGATATTTTGTAACCTAATAGGGTCGTTTCATTCTTTTTGTTAAAAAGGAGTTGTGACTGACAAATAATCCCACATATAGAATCTGTATGCTAGAAACAGATAAGCTCAAAGTACCAGTTGCAAATCTGGAAACATGAAATTTTTATCCAGCTTCATTGGATATCCCCAAATAACCAATCCCATCCATGATGTGTCCAAGATGAAATCAAAGTTTGGTAATTAATCAGGGTTGTTGAGTCTGCCACTAAACTGATGGTAACCATGGTAACTGAATGTGTTGAGCTAATAATTTGCTAAGTGGATATACCTTTGGTTTTCCTCCAGAGCATATACACAGCTTGTCATACTGGACAGTCCGCCCATCAGCACATCGTAGTTCCTGGTTCAGAGAGATATATTTCTTATAACAGGCATTCAGGAGGCTAGGCTGACAGGTTTAACACATAATGGGGAGCAATAACTGTTTGATTGGCATTCTAGAAGTTGGCAAGATAAGTAAGAAACTTCGTGGATAACAACTTCTGGTTTATTGCATATAGCGACGTTTTGATGTAGATTCTACCCGTTATCAAGCTGGAGTGACAACAACCAAGTGATGAGAGGTATATATGCATGACACGTTGTGATAAGCAGCAGATTAACATTGACAACAACGGTAACAGATAACCAGCACATAATTGGATGTCCCAAACCCATGAAATAAATATGTCACCAAATCAATACGAGTGACAACCCAAAGCCCACAATATGTCGTGAAATTAATGCAAGTCACCCTGCCTTTGAACTACAAAAACTTATCAGCAAATGATATTGTACACCAAGACTGTGTACTTGATATGATATGTAGTGATAGCAGTTCGATTGAATAAAATCATTTGCCATCTTCTCACAAACTTACTTTAACTGCTTGACACGAATTCGAAGGCAGGAGATTCCAACAGCACATATTCAAATGATGTAGGTTAGAAAGGGGAAGTGGTTGGTCAGCGACAAGTAGTACAATGGATATATGCATGTCTCAGCTAACAAAGAGTTCGAGTGGTGAGTTCAATAGCACATAATAGCATGTGCTGATTTGAGGTACACGATGACTGTGAAAATAGTGATAGCAAATTTGCATAGAGAAAAACAAGTGAGTATTGTGATGAGGACGGGAATTCATTTGCTGTGAAAATGGAAAACCTTTTTAAAAAATACCTCAGAGCAATAATGAATTGTGTCATGTCATTCATCATATGATTGTGAAGGTTGAGACCTTAACATAGAGATAATGGACTCATTGACATACTCCTTAATTAATCCCATGTGATTGTTTATGGGGTTTATAGGACAATTCTCCAGCCTGAGAATGTATGATTTGGCCATGCTTACCTAGCTTGCACCTGTTTATTTGTTTGTAATTAACTTCTATCAAATGACTTTTTGCATTTCAATTCTAGTATCGACTTGTCACACCGACCTCTTATAGTCTTATGAGCAACACGTGTACAAGGTACACTGGCATTATGTCCTGATTTAGAGTATATGCAGAATATACCTTGTATACCATGGTATACAGGCTGTGAAGACATAGTTCATATTCACTGGAACACTGCTGACTGAGACTTACAACAACATTCACTCACTCACTCACTCACTCACTCTTACATGTCTGACAGCATCCAGCGATGTGACTGTAGACTTGTGAACCTGCACATTGGGACAGTCAGCCTCCACAGAGCTTGAGGGCTTCTCTTCTACATCAAATGTCTCCAAGGTTCGAGATAGCTGCAACAAGTAACACTTTCCAGCTTAACTCAATATTTAGACACTGAAGTCACACAGTGGTGTTAAGTAGTACGTCTGCTGATGTCACAATAGCATCTCTTATCTATATATCTTTCGCTTAGACCTTATATAAATTTTTAAAGAAACATAATATTTCTATTATCTGTTAGGCTTACCTTCTGGTAGTTGGTTACAGCCTTGACAAGATCACTGGCAGTAACAAGCAACACTCTCTCATCTGGGCACAATGCAGACAACTACAAGGAAACAGTAACTAAATTCAGTCACACCGTCAGATTACATCAACAGTGCATAGAGATTGCAATCCTATTATGTGCTTGACTATCACAATATTATCCTGATAAGGACTTGTGTGTTTAGTGACACTTAATTTCTAAAATATCAAGTCTACAGTCTTGGTGTACAATATCGTTTGATGATTAGTTTTTGTAGTTCAAAGGCAGAGTTATTTGCATTAACACCGCTTTTAACAGTATTCCAATTATATCACGGCGTGTCAGCTTGATGTGGGAGGAAAGCCCGAAGTGATGCAGGTCTTAGATGTTTACCACTGCGGTGAAACCCACGAGCAGGGGTATGGTGCTGACAAACCTAGAAACATAATCAGGTCGAACCAGCTAGGATTCGAACCCACAATCACAGCTTTCTGGCGTGCCCAGGGAATTGCTGTGCCTTAAACGACTGGGCCACCCGTGCCCCCCAACAGAATATCAAGATATTAAAACAACATATTTCCTTGTCATAACAGAATGAATTATGGAAGTATTTCCTTTTCAACAAAGTTTCTAAGGGCTATTGACACAAAGTGTCATTAGAATGAGTAGAGTGATGTGAGATCCCACAGTGATGCAGATACCACCTTGGAGGAACACAGAAATATGGGTATGGTGCTGGCAAACCAAGGACCATTACCAGGATGAATCTAAGATAATCCCTTGACACTTTCTTGCTCTTTCCAGAGACTGCAGTTTCTATTGTATTTGCTTCCATTTTCATTACAAGTTTGAGAAGCACTTTCGTGAACCGTTATCCACCATTGAAAATAATTTCTGGTCTGGCTTGTGTCCTTGTATTTCATTAGGATCTGTGTCTCACTGTATGTGGCTCATACACGAGGTTAGAATGCAGATGTGAATAGAATAATAAGTTGTCTCCATGATGAGGGGTAGTTGATAGAGTTACGCAGATGTCGCGGGCATAAACCTTTAGTTTGAAGTGGCATGTTTACATTCTGCCACAGATACTGAGACAGTGGCAGTTTGCTGACAACTTTTATTGCACATGCACATTCACAATTTTTTTGGACCAGTACACAATGATAAAGAAATACATTTATTCTTTGGTTGACCCATACACACTTTAAAATTATCATTTGGCCTACTTGTCCGCAGACATTTTTTAGATATACATGTATTGGTATTTGAATCTGATAGTGATGCTATCTCCACACAAAGATCTGAGAGCGTCCTTGTACAGGTCACCCAACAACGACCTTTCACGAACTTTGACTGACCAAAGAAATGACTGAACTGTTCATCTTAGAAAAGTAAAATAGTTTTCTCTTGTCCTATGCATTTGTCCCCCAAGGCAAGGGCGTTAACTGACTATAAAAGTCCTGTTTCCACCCTTGCCAAAATCGTAGCGACACCAGTGGCTATTTCAAGTTATGTTCCTCCTATTGACCAATCTGATTCCACCTCATATCACATGCATTTGCTTCAAACATAATGGCGGTGCCCAGTCAAGACATCTGCTTGATAATCAAGATCTATATTGTAAAACGGGTCTTACCCTGCGAACTACATCAAATCACATGAGCACCTTGATTAAAACCATGAAAGCATTTGCAAAATATCTGTCAACGCCCAGTTGGCGGTACACATGCTTTGCAAATTCTGCAGTTGACAGAAATCTGCACATTGAAATCCATGTTGTTTATGAACCAGATGTCTAGTTTGTTACGCAAATTTGATTGCACTATGCGTAGACTCGTTAGTCCAGACAAAATGCTCCATAATATTGCACTCTAGTACGGCAAGGATCGAAATTTGACTTTTATAGTCAGTTATTATTAGGGCTCCAAGCTGAAAGGCTGTAGAGCCCCAATGTAATTGTTTGATTTATCATTAGGGCTCCAAGCCGAAAGGCTGTAGAGCCCTATTGTAATCATTCGGTTTATTATTATTTATTATTTATTATTCCATCAATTTTTTTACCAGAGCTAGCAAAATAAGCACTGGCTCAATGTTGTTTAAATTTTGTATGTGTGTGAAAAACTGTGAGTACTAGATTCCTCCAAAATCCCAAAGCCGTAGGCCCAAAGGCCAAGGGCAGATAACTATATACAAGAATTTTTTAAAGATGTATTTCGCCCTATTGCTCCGCAATCGCTTATCCGATTACTTTGAAACCTTGCATGTATCTGCTGCTTGAGCCGCTTGACATTTTTTGTTCTTTTCTTTGGTCATTGGTCACGTGGTTTGGCAGCCATATTGGATTAAAGGTTTTCACAGTGTCTTTTGGGTACCTGTATTCAAACGCAAACAAATCCAAGTCCACTGCATGAAATGCTTCCATGTGAAATTGGGTTTAACGTCGCGTCCAAGATTATTGCACTTATATAGCGACGTGCATGCACGTGTGGGTGTGGCTCCTTGTACTAGTCTGGACTGATGCCGATTTATAGTGCTAGCTCACTGAGATACCATGCCGCAGTTTAACATGAATACCCCACTCAGACACAGTATACTGACTCCAAACCGACCAGTCCTTGTTTTAGCCCCTTAATACTGAGCGCCAGACAGGGTAACAACAAGTACCATATTTTAACGTCTTTTGGTATGACGCGGCCGGGGATCGAACTCTGGACCTTCCACTCTACCACAAGACCACGGAGGCGGTCTGAAATGCTTCCAAACTTTCTGAGAATTGTCTCCATACATAACAGATCAAACCTTTATAGACGATTTTGGATATCTTTTTTAGTTGCGGCCATATTGGATTCAAAGTTTTCACAGTGTCTTTTGGGCACCTGTCTTCAAACGCAAAACAACTCCGAGTCCACTGCATGAAATGCTTCCAAACTTTCTGAGAATTGTCTCCATATAGAACACAACAAACTGTAATAGCCGTTTTTGGATATCTGTTTTAGTTGCGGTTGTATTGGATTTTGATTTTGATGAAATTTTACTTTAAAGATCATATCTTGTTAGTTTGTTGAAGTTAGTGTGTCATATGCATCTTATTTTCTGTTCATGGGTGCATGGAAAAAGTAACTCCACTTGGTGGTAATATTTGATTAATATTTGGGACACCCCTGGAACACGCCAAGTTCGTAGCAGCGATGTCCTGCAAACGGTGACTATCTTTTGACAGAGTTGGTACAATTAAACCCTTTGAGGATTCGAACATGCTCGATGTCGTAAATGGGTTTAGAACAGACTCAGCACACACGTTTCGTAGCGGCGATACCCTGCAAGTTGTGCCTACATGTGACGGATTTGGTACAAGGAAACCCTTTGAGGATTCGAACATGAATGTTTGTGTACAGTGTAACTTGGAGCTCGCCATTGCTGCTTTGCAGCGATATTTATTATTATTATTAATATTACTGTAAATTTTCTAATAAATTGTATATTTGTATACTTATCCTATCTCACACTATGCATTTCTTCTTATTCTTCGATCTTGGTGTGGAAACGTCCTAGAACAAAGTTTCCAGCTTCAAAAACACCACTCACCCAAACACATCCTTTACATCACCAATCACCACTGTGATCCTGGTTCACGCACCACTAAAATCCTGTTGCTACACGACCCCAGCGACCTGGTCACCTGCCGTATCCAGCACCCTCATTCTCAGTCTAGAGCGTACAGGCGGGTGTAACTGTGATGCGGGTATGGTTGGGTGGGCCTTTAGCGTGTGAGATAGGATAAGTATACAAATATACAATTTATTAGAAAATTTACAAATTTTTAAACTTATCCTATCTCACACCATGCATTTATCCCACGGTTGGATGGTGGGGCGCAGATATCCTAGCCTGTAAGGACTTCAACCGTGACACGTACACGAGGAAGCTGGAACTAATCAGGAAAATTCAAAGAATTTTACGAGGATTAGTGATAAACTTGTGTAAGGGTTACATAAAAAAACTCTCTTTGTGCTACAAAGATATATACATCATGACATCGGGGAATCATGTGTTCCTTGGTTTCACACAGGACGCCGTTCCAGGAACGACCGCGTAACCATGAGCCAGGCGACACCTACCCGGTCACGACTTAACCTCACCCCGGATAGGAAGAGGTGTTTTGTTTCAAACACCCAGTCCCAGGCGCAGGTTCTACAAGACAGACCTCACACATACGCTCCCAAGGATGTAAGGCGGACCAGCTTGGCATCTCTTTTATCGCTTCGTCAACCTATCAAACTCACGTGGAGATTGAATAAGGTAAGAACGAGAAGAGGAACGATTGACGATACCCGTTTATCACACAGGTCTTCAATCAACTACTGAGACATCACATGCTCAAAGGCAGAGGTGGCAGGTAGAAGATTGGGACACCATTTAACACATGGCCGCACCGGATGGTGACTTCTATTGACGTAGACCGAAGTCCCAACAGACAAGCATATATACCCTCCCTTTGGGAGCTTGTCTGGGAAACCCGATTAACATAAGCAATAAATATTGCAGTATATACAGGAAACCAGACTTGGGACTTGTAGTCCACTGGGCTTCCTCATCTGCGCTGTGTGGCTGCTGGGACCTTGGACATCGGCGACTGAGATTCCGAAAGGAGTAGGAGGCAAGACCATATCAGAACGCCATAACATCCCTCCATGATGGCTGAAAGTGTGCAATACTATGCAACTCCAAGGTGGAAGTCACTGCCCTCATCTCATGAGGATTGGAAGCAGCTGGGGTGGTAGTCCCTCAAAGGTGTAGACCCTGAGGATGATAGAACGCAGCCAGTGGAGATGGTGGTTCAAGATACATCAGAAGTTGCAGCCGTCGACAATTGGATGAAAACATGCTTGTGACAGCGACGGATGGTCTGAGATGCCTTCAAGTAGATCTTGTAGGCTCAGGTTGGACAAAGCGAGACGTCTTCCATAACATCATTTCTCAATCAATGAGAGTGGTGGAGGCTGAAAAGACGATCCGGTTGTCCTTGAATATGTATCTTATTGAAGACGCTGGAACTGGACTAAACCGACGTCTAAGCAAGA